AAATATCCAAAAGTACAGCGTAGCCCGGCCGAAGGGTAGAGCTACTTTAAGTACTCAAAAAATTTCAAGAGTGATTTTATCTAGTTAAGGGCCACAATATTAACCACAATAAAATATTACGAATTTGGCTATCCCTGATCGTAATTACAAGTCAATTGTAGAAACCATTTTAGAGTGAATTTCCGGAATTAAATGATTGTTGATACTCAGGGAAAAATGCGCAACCGCACTGTTATCAATTATTTTAATCACTTTAATCTTTCATTTATTTTAATCGGATGCTGAATGGGGAGCATCAACGAAACCCATTGAGATGATCCAATTTTTTACTGCAATTTACCAACTTGAAAAATACACTTCTTGATTATATATTTATATATCTCAATGAATATATTTCAATGAATTATTTCTAATGCATTGAAAGTCATGAACGACGAAAAAAATTCTCAATCACTCAATGATTGCCAATAATGAAGGGATTGAAAGACAAATGGTTTTAATTCTCCAGAATCATTCAATTCATGCGCTGAAATTAACTTCAAAATTCAAAAATCCGCAGTACTTTCGACAATATCGTCCTGATTGTGGTCCCAGCGACTTCCAAAGGGTCGCTGATTGCGAGTGTTTGCAGACACTCGAATGTGCTTTTTAACCGCGAGTATCCACTTGAAGTTAATGTCTCGAGGGCACGCGACTTGTCAATTCCACTCTTCAACTTAATCTATGAATTAGCCGAAGTGAAGGGGAATCACCTGCAGAAGAATTCCACAATAAAATTCAAAAGTTATAGAAACTCTCATTTATTACGGATATCCAAGTACTTTGGCTATTTTTTCTTTAGTCAAATGCTTTTCAACTTTTGAACTCGAGTATCAGAGCTTTCATTTGACCTCCATTTGAGCCTGAATTTCCGGACATTTTACAATGATTTTATTATTTATACTTCGCAGGTCTGAATTTGAATCTCGATGTTGAACCGTTAGAAAACATTTTAACAATCTGAAATAAAAATTCGCAAGTTTATTTTTGAAGGAAGATCCATAAAATAGTTGAAAAATTGCAAGTTTTGAAAATTACGAGCATTTTCTGTAAATAATTTTTATGTCACACCGTACTATAAGTCAAGTATAAAACTCCACTATCGCACGATGTAACATAAAATAGTATAGACCACTCGGGCATAAATTTCGTTTTCAACGAATGTGAGTACAGACCTCGCCTTCGGATCGGCATGTAAACTTCACATTCGTCGAAACCGACATTCATGCCCTTGTGGTCTAATATACTAATAAACAATCAAGTCTCCACCATAAAAATCATTTGTTAGAAATCGTAACAAATGTATTAATATTCAGAATTTTACCAGAAATCGATTTCATGTCCAAAAAATGAGGTTTTCAAAAGTTTAAACAATTTCAATTATTGATTTATTTATAAACAATGAATGATTGAAAAAATAATAATTTTCTGGTAAATGTAGTTTGAATGGAGCCGATTTTTTCAAATTTTTCTCACGCAATTTAATTGACAAATTTGATGGTCGAAAATGGTTGAATCTATAGTGTGGTCTATCCCAAACTGTAAAAGATACTTGAATATTCTATTTCCCCTTCGAATTGTTCAGTTTGTCCGTACGGAACTGAGTACAACCGGAGTAACAATAATTCTCGCCCAAAGTAGCACATCAACTCCGCACGTTTATATGCACCATTGATTTTTCATGTCTCGCCTGCGGGCGCCTCTGTCACTCTAACAGTGACGTTGCACCCCAAAATCTTGTTTTCATTTCTGACGTTTTGTTTTCCAGCCGATCGATTCCACCCCACCACCGATAATTTTACTGTTTGTATTCCTCCGCCCACATTGAGCCTCGCTGGATAAAATCGAGTCCAGTAAATTGGGAAGTAATAGATTTTAAATGGTGAGGGGCATTATCGATGCTTGATTGTTTTCGTCTCATTAGAGGGCTTTGTTCGGAGTCTGTTCCTTCATCAATTTTCTTTACCGCTTTCAACCCCCCCACCGCCGGCACTCCAAGACTTTTGTTTCGACTAATTGCAGCTTCCTCATTCCTTAGTTATTGACCTTCCCTTAAGGATGAGTCTTTCTGAGTTTTTAGTGCCTTTGGGCTGTTACAACTGTGAAGTGGAGAGACTTTAATTGAGAGGAATCTGGTGTGAAGTGGCGGAACGAGATAAATCGACTCAGTTTTTTATGTATAACTTTGAATCTGAGGGAGATGGGAATTTTCATGGGGATTTTATTTTTTTATGAGAATCATTGATTCTTCTTATTGAAAGTGCGTAGACAAATAAAAAAAATCAGGCTTGGACAGCGTTTGAATTACATTTTTTAAGTATTTTAAGTAATTAATTTTTATGCATACTATTAAATCTGGGGGAGAGGGAAATTTTCATGGGGATTTTATTTTTTTTATGAGAATCGTCGATTCTTTTTATTAAAAGTGCGTGGGCAAATAAAAAAAATCAGGCCTGGACAGCGTTTGAATTACATTTTTTAAGTATTTTAAGTAAATAATTTTTATACATACTATTAAATCTGGGGGAGATGGGAATTTTCATGGGGACTTTATTTTTTTTATGAGAATCGTCGATTCTTTTTATTAAAAGTGCGTGGGCAAATAAAAAAAATCAGGCCTGGACAGTATTTGAATTACATTTTTTAAGTATTTTAAGTAAATAATTTTTATGCATACTATTAAATCTGGGGGAGATGGGAATTTTCATGGGGACTTTATTTTTTTTATGAGAATCGTCGATTCTTTTTATTAAAAGTGCGTGGGCAAATAAAAAAAAACAGGCCTGGACAGCGTTTGAATTGCATTTTTTAAGTATTTTAAGTAATTAATTTTTATGTATAATATTAAATCTGGCGGAGAGAGGAATTTTCATGGAGATTTTATTTTTTTTATGAGAATCATCGATTCTTCTTATTGAAAGTGCGTAGACAAATAAAAAAAATCAGGCTTGGACAGCGTTTGAATTAGATTTTTTAAGTATTTTAAATAATTAATTTTTATGCATACTATTAAATCTGGGGGAGAGGGGAATTTCCATGGGGATTTTATTTTTTTTATGAGAATCATCGATTCTTCTTATTGAAAGTGCGTGGGCAAATAAAAAAAATCAGGCATGGACAGCGTTTGAATTGCATTTTTTAAGTATTTTAAGTAATTAATTTTTATGTATAATATTAAATCTGGCGGAGAGGGGAATTTTCATGGAGATTTTATTTTTTTTATGAGAATCATCGATTCTTCTTATTGAAAGTGCGTGGGCAAATAAAAAAAATCAGGCATGGACAGCGTTTGAATTACATTTTTTAAGTATTTTAAGTAAATAATTTTTATGCATACTATTAAATCTGGGGGAGATGGGAATTTTCATGGGGATTTTATTTTTTTTATGAGAATCATCGATTCTTTTTATTGAAAGTACGTGGGAGAAATTAAAAAAAAATTAGACAGAGACATCATCTGAGTTACATTTTTAACGTATTAGTTGTTTCCACACATTTCTTATTTATTAACAAATAATGAAAATTGCTTGAACTTCCGAAAACTTGATTGCTTTGCCAGCAAACCGATTCCTGGGAGCAATTTGAATATGAATAAATCACTAACGAGCTTGGAAAAATGATTTCTACAGTAGGAAATTTATTATTTAATAATTGCTATGGGAAGCTCCAAGTTTCCAACAACAGCAGCTCTCAATTACTTTATGAATCTACCTGAAACAATGGATTTCTTAATTTTATCTCTCTAATAGTTTCAAAAAGGAAATCAAATATTCATTGCGACATTTTCCGTAAGTGCGAAGTTGGATTTGAGAGAAAAATTGGTGTTCGACTACAATTTTTAAAAAGAGTTTTAGCAAGAGACAAAAATAGAGCTAGAAAATTTTTTTTGGGCCGTGTGACGAACGATATTTGTCCGAATTCGAAAGAGATAGACTGACATTCAGATTCATTTTTCATTACAGTTGAATATTTTTTAATTGACATATGAAGAAATTTCATACACTGTTGAAAAATTTTATCTGAAATTTCCGGCACACTTTTGGAAATTTCAAGGAATTTTGTCATTAAAAATTCAGAATTTCGTGAAAAAATTCAAGAGAACTATAAATTTCAGTTCCATTTTTCTCTGAAAATAAATAGAAAACTAGAAAATTCCGGTAAATATATTTTTAAATGTTCCGGACAGTGACACTGAATACGATTTGGGGGAAAAAAATCATGAAATGTCAGATTTCGCTGGAAATTCAATGAAATTTGGCACTGCATCCTCATATTAGATTACAAATTCAAATAAACTAAGGAATTCTCATCTTTATGCTGCTTAAAATGCTGGAATTTAACTGAATTTTCAGTGAAACCTGAAATTTCATGATTTTTCCCCCTAAAATGGATTCAGTGTCACTGTCCTGAAAATTAGTAGTCAACTGTCCATAAAATTTCATATTTTTTTCTAACACTGTAATTACCTGTTTTGTGGGGTAGAAGGAAATCCATAAAAAAGATTCTGATGAAAATTCTTATCCCCTTTAGATTTACGAGACGAGAAAATAAGGAGAAAGTCAGTTGTGAAGAAAATTGAGTTATCTTGTTTCACCACTTCACTGCGGAAATCATCTCAACTGATAAGAATTGTCAAGAGGAAAATTGTGTTTTTCTTCTCGCCGTTTTACGATTCAAGTCGTTGATTTATGATCACAAATTGGTGATAAATAACAGTAGTTCATTCGGATAATAAATAAAACATTCGTTTGTTTGCGAAAGAACCACTGCAATTGCGTGCGGTATATTCTCCAATGTCTTTGAAAGTTGTGAGTTTGGAGGAATTTATTAAGAGGATCATCAAATTATCTACAACAATAGACTTTTGGAATTTTTTCGATCTGGACCTTCGGCTTAAGCCTTTTATACAATAATTTATGAGAGAATGGGGGATTAATTACCCGAATTTTTTAATGTTTCAGCCGTTAAATTCGGTCGCATGTCGAAAAAGCAGCGTGAGAAAGTGGAGGACGAAGTGAGATTCCACAGGGCGCAAATGAGAGCGCAATCTGAGACAGCGCCAGACAGCAGTGTATTTGAGCATCAGACTCCGAGCAGTTCGGATCAGCATCACTCCTACAACGGCGGGTCAGTCTCCCCAAAAAAATCTATAATTAACAAATTCCTGACATCCATGAGAGCCGTCAGAAGCATGAAATTAAAAAAAAAACAAAAAAAATTTGCAAAGTGTATGCAAATAATTTAATTCGATAAAACTAGACGAGTCAACTCAACTTGGAGATCAGTTTTTGAATTTAATTTAATTCATTAATTCAGAATTTAATTCAATTAATTAATTCAGAATTTAATTAAATTAATGAGTTCAGAATTTAATTCAATTCATTAAATATTCAGTGAGGATTCCTGATTCAGTTGATTGACAAGACTTATTAATTTTTTTCAAAGACAGCTTTTGATGATTTTTCCAATCTATAAGAGATGAAATTTTTTTTTATAAAAATTTTCTTGTAGTAGTGTGATTTTGAAACAAGCCTTTTCTGAAGATTTCGTTAGTTCTTTTTAATTCGAAAATATTTACCAAAGGGAATTTCTTCAGTGATCCACTACTAAACTTTTTTTAATCTTAAGAATTTTCGAAATTTCCCTCAGAATCTTTTAGTAGGTCTAACTATACAACTAAAATTCTTATGGAAATTGTCCCGTGTCTTCCAGATTGGAACATATCCATTAGGACTTAATCCTGAAGTTTCGAATATTCTGTTTTACATTTCAATAGCGAAGTGGTCAAACGGTTTAAGTCGATTTTTGCTATTGGCCAGTTTTCAGTAAATATCTCGAAATCTAAGAGGGGTAGCAAAATTTTTCTCATAACCTTTTTAATAGCACTCAGTTCGCTCTACAAAAAAGTTATTATGAAAATTTCGCTATCTCCCTTAAATTTTGAAATATTTCTGGAAAACTCAACTAAAGACAAAATTGACTTAAACCGTTTGACCACTTCGCTACTGATTTGATACAATGTTTTTTTCATTGGCGAAATATTTTCCACTCTTGCGTGAATTTATTCGTCTTTGAGAAAGTTCAACTAGAACTCAAGTAGAAAACACAAGACTTCTAGTAAAAATTACTATTTTTTCGTGAAATCTTTATTAAAACCATTAGAATTCTAATCAACCTTAATGCATTTTTACTAGAATTCCGGTACAATGTCACCAGAGTTCAATACAATTATTAGAGAGTGCGGCAAAATGAATATTTTGGGCTTGATTTTTTCAGAGTTGATAACTTTGGAACAAACTTATCAATTCAGCTCAGTCTAGGCTCATTACAAAAGAAAGTAATTATCGTTTCCATTGAAAAAAAATTATTTCATTTCATTGACAGCTGAATCACTCCGTAAAATTTCAAAAAAAAATTCAAAAGAGTCTCTACTTGCCTCTAAGTAAATGGAATTCATGGGAAAATGGAATAAAGAACTGCATGACTTCATATCATCATCAAAATCTCGTATCCACCACACCACAAAAAATCATTCGAACGCGATTCTTTTAATTTTGTATGCCCCGTTTTCTCTCTACCCTCTCAAAATATTTAGCTACACGTACAGTGGAAGTGAGTACGCATCGCCGGGTCCAGGAACGGGCGGCTCTGGATACTACAATCATCAGGCAATGACTAGCTACGAGTTGAGTGCGGACTACGTCGACAGTACAACGACATACGATCCACGACCAACTCCAGCCCAGGTCGATCCACTCACCCCCGACACAGCGTCAATAGGAGCTGCCGGGGTTCTACCTAACATGGTCACCACAGGTAAACAAGAAATAATCCCCGGAATTCGATGGCGCGTTGTCTGACTCAAGCCGAAATAGTATATTTCGTAACGAGTGCAAAAAAGTGTTTTTGGCGAGTGGGAGGTTTATATCACGAGCCGAAGGCGAGTGATATAATCCCACGAGCTAAAAAACATTTTTTCACGAGTTACGAACAATATTTTTCATCACAATGTGGCGGAAATTGGACTTTTAGGCACGCGGAGCGTGCCGAAAAGTTCACTTTTCGTCACAGCGTGATGAAAATGATCTTTTACTACGCGAAGAGAAATTCTTTAAAAAAATTCTCGTGTCACGCAAATGATGATTGTTAACAAATTATGGATGAAATTTCCGGTACACTTCTTAGAAATTTTTATATTATATTATAATTTATTTATTATTATATATTATACTATTCATTATTCTTATTATATATAATAACATAATAATAAATAATATAATAATAAATAATATAGTGTATATTATTTATTATTATTTTATTAAAATTTATTATAATATAATATAAATATTTATTATTTGTTTTACAATAATGATAATAATAATAATAAATGTTACATGAAATTAACAGAAATCGAAGTCTGATAAATATAGAATATAAAACAATATAGTTCAACATATAAAGAGAAAAGTAAAATGCAAGTGATATTGACAAAAAGCTCATTACTTTTTCCATCTCACGTATTAGATTTTTACAATTGGGGAAGATTGAACAATGAAAACAATAAATAGTCGAAAGGGAATAACAATATGTAATACTTTAAACATGAAATTTCGGAATATGCAGTGTTTAGATTTATTCGATTATAGTTTCACTGAAATTTTTTAGAAATTTCGTCATTGATTAATTTAACATTGAAATTATATGAAAATTTCATTAGAAACTTAATTTTTATTCAATTATTGCATGAAAATGAATAGAAGTCGCTAGAATTCGGTTGAATGTATTCTTAAATTTTCTAATAATTTAAAATTCAGTAATTTCGTACGGAATGTTCATGTTTTCATAGAAACTTTGAGAATATTTAGGAATACTCGTTCCCACTGCTTAAAAATCGGAATTTCATTGAATTTTCAATTAAATCTGAAATTTCATGATTTTTTTTCCCCAGAAATTGAATTTAACTTCACTCTCCTGCAAATTATTTGTCAACTGTTCTTAAAATTGCAATTCTTTTCTAACAGTGTGAAAATTTCTAGCAATTTCTGTAAAAATTTCCCATGAATACGAGAAAAATTCACGTGCCGCCCAATCAAATTTCCAGTACCAGTACTAGAATTTTTCTAAAAAATTCCTCTCCATGTATTTAATATTGATAAGTCACTTAGTAGATGAACGTATTGTTAATTGAATAATAGAGTGGCCGAGGTGGATAGGAATTGACTTCGCCAGAGAAACAAGTAATTCAATTAATGAATAAATAGATGAAGTGGAATTGAATAAAAACTTGCGGAGTGAAGTGGTGAAAACCTAACGAATGAAGTTTAAAATTTTTGGTTTTGTCCATTTATTTCGGGAACCCCACACGGTCACCACAGCTGAATAAGAAATAATCCCCAGAATTCGGCGGAGAGTTGTCTGACCAAGCCGCAAATATTTTTTTTACTACTTCATATTGATAAGTCCGTTGGTTGATGAACATGAATGGTTGGAGTCATTAAATATTAGGTACTACGTGGCGGATGAGAATTGACTTCGCCAGAGAAACAAGTAATTTACTTAATGCATGAATAAGTCGAGTGATATTGAGAAAAAAATTCTGGGGTGAAGTGGCGAGACCTAATGAATTAATTATGCATTTATTCTGGAAACGAGTAGTTTCAGGGACAATTTCAAGAGATTTTCTTAGACCATTTTTTTCCAATTTTATTCCTAGCGAAATAGAAAATTTTAAAAAACGATGGGTCGAAGTAAAACGTTTGTTATTGACTTAAAATGAAAATATCTCTGTTTATAAACAAAGATATCAATAATTTAAGTGAATCACGAACGTTGCACTTTGCCTCATCTCTCCTAATAAACTGAATTTTACAAAATTATTAATTATGTTCGTATCTCAGAACCGAAGGATGTTTGGGGAAAATCTCTAAGAAGCTTCTCTTCAAGTGATTAAATTTTGTACAAAAAATATCTCGCGACATTTCCACCTAAACTTTTTCCTCCCGAAATAATTTTCTGTTTTTTTTTTTGGGGGGGGGGGGGGTCAAAAAATTGTCCAAAATTGTCTAGAATTGTCCAACAATTTGCTTGTAAGCGTAAACATGAAATTTGAACAACCCCTACCTTTACACTAAATAAAAAATCCAAAATTCGTTATGCTCCACCACCTCACTCCCGAACGACTCACAAAAAAAACCGAGAGAAACCCCAAAAATGATGAACACTCTGTGGACAAAAAACTCACCAAATGTCCCATTGATCGCAAATAGGAAAATCACTGACCGCATCGACAACCGGAAGCGGTACGGGTGGTAGTTCAGGTGGTGGTACTAATAATACTAGTAACAATAATGGGGGTAGCAATGGAAACGGGAGCAATGGTGGTGGTACAGCGAGCGGTGGTTCACTGAGTGGTGGTGGAATTGTCGCTGTCAAACAAGAGACCACGGTTGAGCTTGCCAGCCTTGGTCATGGCTCTTACACGATGGTTGACTCGACAACGTTCATCAGTGGCCAACAGCAAAGGCCCGACAATCCACCGGAGGACGACGAAGTCCCTAATCTGCCCAGTATGTCCCATACGAGATGTGAGACTTGTTTTTTTTTTGTGTCCCCCCATTTCTATTTTTTTTCACTCGTCTCATGGTAATTCGTTAATGCACGTTGCATGTCACCAAAAATCTGTCGTCCTCGATGAATTGTTTCACGTATTTTTCATCTTTTTGAAGTGGGAGAACTCGAATGAACGATTTTATTCATGATTTGAAACGAAAAAATATTCATCAATTGATTCAACCACATATTTTGCTTCAGATTTCATCCAATTGTTCTGATTAACATTTGAAATGAAAAAAAATTGATGAAACGATTTAATTATTTATTGAAATGAATTGATTTGTATTTTTGTGCAATTACCTACTTTGAAAAACAAATATCCTTTGCTTTAATTCATGATTCTTGAGAACGATTGATGTTAAGGGGAAATATTGTGAATGCTTTAAGGCAATTGAATATTCTACAACGTACGTTTCATGACTTTGCCTCTTAAATTCATCAATTCAAGATGATTCAATTATCAACTAGATGAATTAAATCGACTTCTGCACGAGTTTTTCCCACTCCAATCCACAATTACTTAATTATCTCGATGGAAGTGTCTAGTGCACTGACAGAAAAAATGAATTTTATCAAGAGAATTTTATTGGAAACAACTATCATTTGGTTGTTAATTTTCAGATAAACATAATTTCATAGCGAATACCAGTTATATCTTTTTGAGGTACCTTTGATTGGGAGAAATCGAACTTCTCTACAATTGAAGTTCCTTTTATTTGTCGCAATAATGAGAGTATTTGATTTCTTTCTAGCCAAAAGTTTGCCAACTCCAGAAATTCATTGATTTACTCAAAAATCAAAATTGTTCTCATGACTAAATACGTTGTTATCTTAATCAACACGATCATACGTTGATTCAAGTAAATTATAATTGATGTGAGCATTTCGTATGTCGAATCAGGATGAATATTGTTACGCGGAAAAAGCTTTGAGATTGTAGTAAGATGTCGTTGAGTTGAAAGAAGTTTATATTTCTTGACTAAAAAAAATCGCATTAGTTTACAATAACAGAATCACAGATTACTGCAATTCTACACAAACTTGGATATCACAAATTTCGTTCAATGTTATGTACGGAAAGCTCAATTCAGTAGCGAAGCGGTAAACCGGTTTAAATCGACTTAACTCTTCGGTAAGTTTTCCAGGAATATCTCCGAATCTAAGAAAAATGACGGAATTTTCATCATAACCTTTTTATTAGCTCTCAATTCGCTCTACAAAAAAGGTTATTACAAAAAAATGGCTATCTCCCTTAGGTTCCGACATATTCGTTAAAAACTGACCATTAGTCGAAATTAACTTAAACCGGTTTACCGCTTCGCTACTGAATTTAAACATCGGCTTCATTCGAGAAAACAACATTCAACTCANTCGCTCTACAAAAAAGGTTATTACAAAAAAATGGCTATCTCCCTTAGGTTCCGACATATTCGTTAAAAACTGAGCATTAGTCGAAATTAACTTAAACCGGTTTACCGCCTCGCTACTGAATTTAAACATCGGCTTCATTCGAGAAAACAACATTCAACTCATTCCTCAATGTAATCATCTCCTAGCTACGAATTTTTGATCAATTCATGAAAGTAGAAAATTTCTCGACTGGAGATTATATTAGGTTAAAAAAAATAGAACTTTTCCATTTTTGTGGTGAATACATGTGACTTGACGCCAAAGACTGTTTTATTTGATTCAAGTAAATGTATCTCAAGAAGAAATAATTGATATTCACCGTAAGCTCTTGCTTATTTGAAATTGATTCGAGTATATAATACTTGTTCCAAGGAAGAAACATCTCAATCAAAATAATTTATTCTATCAGTGTGAAATGTAAAGAGGTCGGTTTTGTAGCTGAAAAAATTCCCTACAGAAAAAGTCCTCTGACATTTTACCTAAAAATTCTTCATTATCAAGATAATTTAACAATCGTCGTGATGAGATGAGTCCACTGATTACGTTATAGCACTTAATCACCCAAAATCTCTCCTCCAAAATGGGTGTTCTCACATCCCATTTTAAATAGTCGTTCTTTATGTCTTTGTGTGGAATAAAAACGTCTCTGTCAAATATTGTACACGCATGACTCAATTTGCGGTAGATGCACGACGAATTCTTTTCTCCAAAGTATTTTGTATTCAACAGTTTACGATTTATTTTCCTCTTCCGGTTATCGTCCGCGGTTTAAGTTGTGTAGATCGATGTGGATAAATAGTGTCAGACTGTATTTTTTGCGGTATCTCTTCGCCAATGGGCAACCGCAATAGAGACATTCACACGATAGCCGGCATGACAATGGTAATTACTAACAGGAGGTCTTTTTTTTATTCTCAATTTTGGAAATAACAGATCCGGCAGATCTCACTGGGATGCTCGTCCAGACACTGGCGGCCGCTCACAAGAAGACATTGCTGGTCAGTACGGAGGAGATACAGGAGGCCTTTCGCACGCCTCATGACTTCACAAAGTTGATCTTTTATAAGAATATGGCGCATGAACAACTTTGGTACGACTGTGCACAGAAATTGACGAATGTCATTCAGGCGATCATTGAATTCGCCAAGATGGTCCCTGGGTTTATGAAACTCACGCAGGACGACCAGATTGTTCTACTCAAGGCCGGTAAGTATGAGTGAACATTTGGCTTTTTGTATGGAATCAATATAGGCTGCATGAGATCAATATGTGTCATCATTTTTAAAATTCCAATTCCCCTGATTTTCACGTTCTACAACAACAAATCTTTGAAGTCGGATGTGAATAGCTTCATTTACTTGAGCAATAGTTATAGCATCATGAAATTCAATTTTTGGCTAAAAATTCCCATCTGTATGAGAAAATTAGTCTTAATCAAATAATTCGCTGGCCAATTTGAAGGTAATTTAATATATTTTCACCTGGGCGTAAGAAATCTCCACAGATTTGAACAGAAACCGCACATATCTCGTCATTAGACGGAGAAACATGGAAATTTTCACAACTTGACATGCTAAAATCGCTATATTATCGGTTATAACAATTGATCTTCTGGATGGAGTAGGTAATATGGGGTCTTAATTTGAAGAACTCGATGAGACCTTGAAATTGACATATGATCTATCCCCGCTGGTCAAGTCTAAAGCCTCGATAAGCGATAAAAAATTTTTACACTTCATAGAGATGATAGGCCGATTTCTAAGCAAGTTTCATTATTTATTAATGAGAAGATAATGTTTAAGAAAATATAAATATTTTGCAAAATTTATTCATTTATTATTTTGTATATTTTGGGAGATACTAATTAGGCATGATTTTTTCCATTTTTACTCATGAAATTTATCTGAAAAAATCGAAAATTGAAAATATAAAAAAATATCGAAAGGGTAGAACTACTTCAGATATATAAATACTTAGATATTGAGGTCCTGAATAATTTGAGAAGACAAAAATATCAATTAAAAGCCCCAAGGTTCTCATTTTTAAAAACCAAGAGTTCTAAATTCCAAGAGTGCCTCAAAATAAAAGCCAATATACCTTAATTTAACTACATTTGATACCGGATTTCAGCCAAAACTACTGAAAACTAGCACTTTTTCTCTGATTTTTACAGAAAAGTTTTTTAGAATGAGTTCAAATTTTCCAAAAATCCAAAACCCCCTAAATTTCAATTTCAATTTTTACCCCCTAAATTTCAATAACACAAGATTCTGAAATCGAGAGATGAAAACTAGATTATTTTAAGTGTCAAATAATTCACAAATAATCAGTTTTCTGCCTTAAAAAATTGGTTTTCAATCCCAAAAAATGAGTGCTCATCGAGAATGTCATCAGAAATGGAAACATGCAAAAAATACAATTTTCCAAATTCGTTCCCATGAATTAAAAATATAGACTCCATGGAATTTGCACACATGTTTTCTCGTAACAACCCATTCAACACATCTATTCACTAAATGGCCTTTATGTTCCCTCTCTAGGTGCCTTTGAAATGGCTGTGCTACGTATGAGCAGGTACCTCGATCTCCAACAGAACTGTGTTCTGTACGGTGACACGATGCTGCCACAGGATGCCTTCTACACAACCGATACAGCTGAAATGAAACTGGTGTCGTGTGTCTTTGAATTAGCGAGAAGTATCGCTGAGTTGAAACTCACTGAGAGCGAGCTTGCCCTCTACAGTGCTGTTGTACTCCTTAATCCAGGTGAGATTTCATTTACAAGACTATTCTCCCCCTTTAATCAAACTTTGTGATTGAAATTTCTTAGTGCGTCAATCAGTCTGTTTGTTCACGCGAGAACCTTGTTGGCTCTGATTGTTGAATACTAATCGCTTTCTCTTTGGATTTCTTTGAGAACATCGTCTTAGAGAAGAGCAAGTACTGTCTGATGTACTGCTATTGAGAAATTTTAATTGGAGAGTTTGTACTGCTTTTCACGTGGTAATTCTTACTTAATTCACTTACACTAGTCATGATGATGGGAGAAAAATTATGACGTGTATTACAAGGTGTTATTAATGAATCTAAACCGTGACGATGATGTTTTGTGTGGTGGCGGGAGGAGATAGACTGAAAGGTTAATATAGACTATTCTGCGGATATATCGGAAGCTGTTGGGTTTTGGAGAAAAATTTATAAAACATTTGTAATGGGAATTTTCAAATACAATTTTTCCAAGGGAAAAATTGAGTTTCAGAGAAATCTTCTTTTAAAAATGAAAGAGAAAAATTTTTTGTGAAAATGTTTTTCAAATTTTTCTCTTTCATTTTTAAAAGAAGATTTCTCTGAAACTCAATTTTTCCCTTGGAAACATTTTCACAAAAAATTTTTCTCTACCCCTGACAGTTGAAAAACTTTAGATAGATTAATTGGCAAATATCTATAAAACTCCTGGGTTTAAAAGAAAAATGTTAAGACTTTCTACAACAAAACGTCTTGACGTAAGACTCTGATTTTGTTAAAATCGAATTTACATCGGATAAATTCAATTCCAATCAAATGAATAGTTTTTTGAATACAATAAAATATTTTCTTGATCGAAACAAAGACATTTTAATAGAAACAGCATTATTCTTCAGGGGACCAAGAGAACGAATCTATTAACATGTGAAAATCTTTTCTTGAGATTAAACAGATCATTTCTTTGATTCAAATACAGATTTTTATGCAATGAATGAATTATTTATTATTTAATTTCTAATTATTTAATCATTATTTATTCCCTAGAATCAAAAGATTTTCTTTATTAAAATAAATGAATTCCTAAACAAATTAAGAAATAAATAGGGAGAATTAGAATTGGTAGATGAGAATTAATAATTGAACTCATAATGTTTGATTTTCAGAACGCACTGGACTCAAAGACGTACAAGACATCACGAAGCTGTCACAAGCTGTGATCATGGCCCTCAGATACGAGCTCGATCGTAATCACGTGTTACCAATAAAGGGTGATGTGACTGTGTGCGATGCGCTTCTCGCTAAGATACCACAGTTGAAAGAAGTATCATTACTTCACATGGACGCCCTCATCAAGTTCAAACGTTCACAGCCACCGCATATTATTGACTTTCCGCCCCTTCATAAAGAGCTATTCAGTGTCGACAGCTGAACGGCCGTCGATGCACAGGGCGACCCATCACTGGCTGACGACGTGGAACGCGAGTGATACGTGGGCCTTGCTCTGTCAAGGTATTAAATTTTAAGAATTCCTTAACTCCATTCAAGGCATTCTTTCATTCACTCTCTTGTTATTCTCTGGGCAAGCCAAACATTCGTATTTTGTTCCCAAAAAATGTTCATTTTACGCGAAAAAAAGACTAGTTTTTCGTTTTGGTCATGCAATACGAATGAATCAAGTGTAAAGAATTAATTCTTAAATAGAAAAATAACAATTCAGTGGCGAAGTGGTAAAACGGTTCAAGTCGACTTATTTCCTAGTTGAGTTTTTGAGGTATATTTCCGAATCTAAGGGAGATAGCGAAATTTTTGTAATTACATTTGTTGTAGCTCTCAATCGACTCTACCAAAATAGTTATAACAAAAATTTTGCTATCTCCCTTAGATTCCGAGATATTCATTGAAAACTGGTCAATAGTCACAGTTCACTTGTACCGTTTTACCACTCCGCTACTGAATTGATTAACGTCACTTTATGGAGGATATTGTCATCCTAAAAAAGCGTCTCGAATGAATTATCCACTTCTTCAAACAAATATTTCGTTGTTGAAAGCAGAGCAATAATTGGATTTTTTAAACAAAACCGTTTCTATTTAATTGTTTAATTTTCAACTTGCAATTTTTTGTTGTTTGAGGACATCTTTTTTCCTCTCAGTATAACAGACAAAATAGAATCACCATTTTTCAATGAAAAATCCTCGCTTCTCTTTAAAAACCATCAATAAGACTCATTTCCCCCAAATAATCAATTTTTTTTCTCCATTTGTTTCAGATCATTTCCTTCGTATTGAACATATTGGGCCTTACATAAACATAACATTGTTATATATAAAGTATACATAAAGAAAAAACAACATAAAGTATATATGAAAGAAAAAAAATTATAGAATTATATATAAAATAAGATATATATATTATATATATAGATGAGATATCGGTTGTTATGATACATACACAAAGTATATTATTGACTAATAATAATTCGAATCGCTCGCCAGGGCTGTTCAGAGACTCTTTAAACCCCCCAAACACGATCTCGATTCGTAGGTTCAGCACGTGGCCCTACGCGCCTCTCACAGCCGATTGGAAAATCGTCATGAGTTGAATAGGAACTATCTTTTGTAGCTCACGACCCTATGATCAAGATCCTCCCCCCACCCAAGATGTAAAATCCCTCTTCAAAAAAACAATTTTAGTTTTGCCTTTGAAATAATTTCAAGCAATTCGACATTGTCTCTGACTAGCCCTGCCCGACACCAGGAACACACGTAGTTAGACTTAATTGAGATAAATTAAACAAATTAACGTTTTGGTTAACGCACTTTATTGACGCGCTTCTCAAATATGTAAATATTACTTCCCACTGTGGCCCACTGTGACACTGAAAGAAACTCGATTCTCAAAACTGCATAAAATCCTCAGTCACACCCTCAGATCGTCGAGGGGATGCTCATCCCGAATAAAAAAACTTTTTTGTTTCTTGCGAAAAATTTTTTAGAAGTACTATTTTACGCATGATTTTTTGTCAGGAATCGAATTTGAATTTTTTGTATATGATTACACTTTTCACTTTTTAATTATGAAAAATTGGGGAGATGCATTTTTATGTTCATTTGGGAATCAACAGAGTCGTTATTCTCAATTTTATCGATTTTATTCTCAAGAAGTTGCTACAAATATCAATGAGAATGAGGAAATTTCCACAAAAAGAATTGGAATTAACGGAAACAATACAGAAAATAATGCGTTAATTTAAATATGAGGAAAGAGCTGTGAATTCTTTCAACTATAAATGACTAGAGACTATAGGTAAATTTTTGAAATAGTTTTTTCAATATGATTATCATTTTTCGCTTTACTTTCGCTTAATTGTGAACAATGAGCGAGTAGATGCATTTTGAAGTTTATTTGTCATCAAACAAGGCGTTATTGTCAATTTTATTGATTTTATTATCAAGAAATTACTATGAGGAAACAATGAAGAAATTTGGAACTGTGAACTCTTTTAACTGTAAAGTAATAAACGACTATAGATACATTTTAAAAAAATTTTTTTTCTGCATATGATTACTATTTTTTGCTTATTAATTATGAAAAATTGGGCAGAGGGTGCATTTTTAGCTTTATTTTTAAGAAGCAGTCGTTATTCTCAATACTATCGATTTTATTTTCAAGAATTTGCTTTGAATATCAACGGGAATAAAATGCCTCAATTTGAATGTGAGGGGGGGACTGTGAACTCTTTCAACTATAAAGTAATAAACGACTATAGGTAAATTTTAAAAACTTAATTATGAAAAATGGGAGAAGATTTTAAGTTTATTTATTGACCAAAAAAGTTGTAGATTATTGTTATTATTATTTTTAGATTTTATTTTCAAAGATTTCTTATAAATATCAATGACATTCAGTAAATTTCCATTGAAAAAAAGCGAAATATATGGAAGCAGTACATTAAAAATGCACTAGTTCGAATTTGAGGGACGAAGTACGCTAGCAAAATCTGGATTACCGAGCGAAATCCTCTCAACTATAAAGTACCAAGGGACTAGATAGAACATCACTAAAAATAGAGTTATGATTCATAACTGAAGTTTATCCATAATATTTGACGAAAAAATTTTACTCTGGGACATTAATAGAAATTTGGATAAACGAATCTCAAAATGCATCTGCTTCTGCATTTTAAATTAAAAAACAATTCCAAAAAATTCAAACATTGAAAATTTGTTCATTCTATTTTCTTTCAGGAAAAATTCAATTACAGAATCGACTTCCCGAGGAATAATCACGAAAGAAATAGCACTTTTAAAATTTTTTTCTCGAAAAATGAATGAGTTTTCTTCCCGGGGTGAGCCTCCCCTAAAATTAGCTAATTAAACAGTTACATCTATTGGTTACGACCCCCTACCCCGTCACGATAGATACCTTATTTATAAAATAGGGTGTGATGCTGTGCATAAAACAATTACCTGAATAACAATCACTTGTGAAATAACCCGAGACATCGAGTTGCGCGTCAGTTCACCGAAGAGCAAATAAATATAGAAAAAAATTACAACTAATTTACCCAACAATTAATGAAAAAACTGCATAATGTGAACACGCGCACGACGGTCGCACTGTGCCCAATTAAAGACTGGAAGTAATGTTTGCACGTACGTACAAAAAATGATAAATATGAAAAAAAAGTAATAATAAAAGCGGCTAAGGAAAACAAACGGTGAAGGAATAGCGATATGTAGATAGTTGGTTTAACGAGTTGATGACGAAGAGAGGAATAAATAAAGGATAATTTAAAGAAGTAACTGGGTGAATAAAATGGCCAACGCCACGGTGCGCCAACTGATACGTTAATGGTTGAAAATAGTGAGGAAAAAAAGCTGAGAGAAGTGAACATTATTCTACTGAATTAACGAATAAAGATTAAACTAGAATTCATTTAATTGTAGAGAACGAAAAAAAAGTGAAAATAATGTGGATAACGTAATTACACATGCCCCCACAATTACACGTGACATGTTACACGATTTAAAAATAAATAACAGACACGACAGATGGCCGTAGTAGAAATTTAATAAACAATGAGATAATTGTCGATAACGCTCAGAGAAGGAAAACTCTAACAAAAAAATCATACACTACAATTTAATTTAATTCATTGAAGAAACAAATTACAGACAACCACGTTGCAAACTAGGAGGTTATTATCGCAATTTGGAGTTAAATTTTATAATAATATATAATAAACAAAAGTTGACGGATAATATAAAGTTATATTTAAATGAAGAATAATTTTAAAAAATGAAATGAAAAATGGAAAAAAAATCTTAAAGTAAAACGTAAATAAGGGGGAGGGTTTCGTTGATTGGGGATCACGTGGGTTTTTTTTTTAATTATTGAAACGATTTTATCGTGTTTTTTATATCTAAGTGGTTGTTGCGTCATTTATTCTCTCACCCCTTCCTCTCACTCATTTTTTTAATCAGAATAAAAGGATTTGTTCATTGTTCACGTGAATCTGTGTAAAAACTCTTGTCTCGCACATAGAATTTACTATAAAATGCACAGGCAACTTAATCATTCTTTTTTATTACAAATTTTATCAACAAAATCACGATATTTCATCGCAGAATCATCTTTTCTACCTTCTCAGACTCTGTACATTAGCGTCTCGAATTTATCGTAAAATTGTTTTCACTCGACTGTTCGAATTCATTGATTAATCAATGAAATTAGTTAATTAATTCATTTGATAATTCACGTGATCCTCAATCATGGAGTGTTTCAACCACGCAGGATCTATGCGCGCGCGCATCGAAGTTGATTTTTAGATAATAAGACTTATGGTATTTCGTAGAATTTAAAGGAAGAAACAACAGCAACAACAAAATAAATAATAAATACACGTTATAAGACGGTCTGTCGTACGTCCACGCGCAGTGGCTCCCACGTTAATTATTTCATAATGTATAATTATAATTTTATTATTGATTTATTGAATTTCTAGAGTTATGTATTGGTTCTTGGGGAGGGAGCTGTTTAAGCTTGAAACTTATGAAAAATATTGAAACACCAGCAATAATGTGTTCTAATTTGCACTATAGTGCAGCTGTGATGTGGTTACGGTCCGTTGGGGATGATGAACACGAGTTGAATTTTTTCTTAGTAATTGAGGGGAGGTTCACACCGAAAAAAAAATTTCCATTTTTCGAGGACAAATGTTTTGAATTAAAATTTTTTTTTGAAAGTACTAGTTTTCGCATGATTTTTCTCTGACTGTTAAAAATTGGAGACTTTCATTTTTTAATAAAAATTCAACTTGGAAAAAATTCTCAATGTATACAATCAATTGAGAATTTTTGTAATCGATTTTTGAATAGGAATATTAAGTTTTGTTTGTCAATTAAAGAAAATGGGAGACAGGATGCATTTTAAAGCTCATTTGTAAATTTGATTCTCAAAAGTTCCTTAAAAATGAGTTAAAATGAGTGAATTTCTATAATGAGAATAAAAAATAGAGTTATAAAAAATAGTGGTCATTGATAAAAAAATTCGTTAATTAAATTACGTGAGAACAATTTGAAAATGATGACTGATATTCAAAATCATTCAAATTACGTTTTGCACAGAATAGTAATTTTTTAAACATTCGTTTTTTATAAATAAATAATAGAAATTGTTTAAACTTTCGGAAACCTAATTTTTTTAGACATGGAGTCGATTTCTGGTAAAATTCGGAGTATGAATAAATTTATTAAGATTCCGAAGAAATTATTTTTAGAGTGGAAAATTAAATGTTTACTAATCATTTATAAAAAAATGCTCGTAATTCTCCAAAATTGCAATTTTTCAATGATTTTATCGGCTTCCCTTCAAAATAAACTCTATTTTTTCAGATTTTTAAAATGTTTTCTAACGATTCAATATTGAGATTTAAATTCAGACCTGCAAACTTTAAAGAGTGAAATCATTGCAAAATGTCCCGGAGCTTCGGCTCAAATGGTACTCAAATAAAAGCTCTGATGTTCGGCTACTAAAGTTCAAAAGCATTTCACCGACGAAAAAATAGCCAAAATACTTGGATATTTTTAATAGAGACTTACATAAACAAATAAATTTCAAAATGCATCTGCTCCCCCATTTTTTATTATTAACGATCGAAAATTGGTGATCGCATTCAAAAAACAATTCCGAAAATTTGCACATTTGATTTCAAATAGTGTTCAAGCTGAATTTCCATTAAAAAAATTCAAATCCCTAATTTTGAGTGACCGGAGACAATTTAAACCCGCAGAGTCAACTTTCCTGAGAAAAAATCACGCGAAAAATAGCACTTGAAAAATTTTC